AATAGATTCAATAAGTTTTAAGAAATCTCGAAGATATGTTTCGAGAGCTCCCAGTGATTGATGATCGTTCTTCTTCAATTAATCAGCCATTTCTCTTATATTATGAAGCACTTACCATTGTATGCCCCGTGTTATGCCTCAAAAGTCAATTTTATATGATTGTTTAAGTTTTAGGAAGGATTGAACTAAATGAATAATAACAATTTTCTCTTCTCTCATATCTTTTATTATGCTTTTCATTTTATTTTTTATTACAATCATTATTTTGATCTTTATCACTATTATTGTTAATGTTATTATTATTATTATTATTATTATTATTATTATTATTGCCATTATGAATATATCACGTAATCGTAATTGCAACTATTGCTGTTGCTGGTTAATAGTAAATTCAAATAAGATGAAAGGAAAAATAAAATTGTTTGCATGTAAATTGCGAATGTAAAAGCATTCGTCATCTTAAACTTCTTCTTGCTTTTTTTATTGACAAAATGTAAATGATAAAAGCAAATGGCTGACTGATAGCAATGATATTTTTAGTAAGCTTTATGGAAGTTAGTTTTGACGCGAATTAGTGTGTAATTTTAGCTTTTTTGAATTTTCTTACTTAGTGTGCAATTTGCATACTTTTTATAGATAGATGTGTTGAGATGAAATTATTGCATTAGTTTTAGTTATGGGTTTGAAAAGCTGCTCTTAGGGCCGTTATCATCACGCAGTTCTTTGTTGTGTAATATTTGTTATACTGATTTGAACTGTTTTGCAATAACGTTATCGCTAATTACTCTTGTGATATCAAGAATAATAATAGTAATAACGATAATAATAATAATTAATATTTTTATTATTATTATTGTCTTTATATTACCATTATAATGTCTGTTAATATTTTTGATATTATTGTTGTTAGTACTATATTACTGATATGATTGAAAGGTTGAAAGAGTGTGAATAGGGAACGGTGTTGTTGTTACTATCAGATGTAATTTACCTCTTTAGATGCTAAATTTTCGTTAAATTTTATCTTTCAGACATTTGGCAAACACTGAAATATGCAAATTTCAAGTTTGTTTACGTCAACAGTACTGCTTAATCTCTATTTACGCAGTTTGACCTTAATATTTGTCGTCGACTAATTGTTTATCATTTTGTTATAATAACTTTCTTGAAACTAAAGAAAAAGAATTTGTTAAATACTTAATAATTTGATTAAGTTGCACAATTTAATAAAATTATTAAGTATTGTGTACGATTTTTTAATTTAATTTTAATAAATTAAAGTATAAATAAATTTGTTAGACAGAGTAAAACAATTGTAATAGAATAAATACTAACTGCTTGTGTGTATTTAGAAAATGTGACTAGCAAATAAGTTGATTAGTTAGTCGAAAAGCATTTGTAATTATGAAAAAATGTGAAGAATATTTTACTTTCACATTTGCTACTAAGTGATATATATTCCTTTGCAATAAAAACGATGATTTCATGTGTGAATATTGTTATTTTTCCAAGTATTGTTTTAAAAATATGATCTGAAATCAATAACTTATTTATCTTCTACTTGGTTTTATGCGCAGTAATTATGAATTCTGATTATTATTATTAACGTCATAATGATGGATTTTTTAATATTTTGAATTATGATCTGATGTGGATTGTGTTTACTATTATGATATGCATAAATTTCTTAAATAATTCAATAATTCCACATGGGTGGTGATATATTTTGGGAAAAAATAACTTTTAATCATTATCTAAATAATAAAAATGATAATTTCCTGTAATTTCGGCTTAAATACTGATAGATTTTCTATTATTAACTGTGATAGTTGTGATTTCTGATCACTGATTGTTGAAAGCTAATTTTAGAGCAGTTGTTCGTTGCATATTTTTGTTAATATTATTCGTTATTAATTCCTAACTTTAACAGTGTGAGAAAGCATAAAGCTTTGAAATGTGAAATGTTCAGATGAATTTATGCTCGCTTTTAATGTCATTCATTAAATTTTGCTGTAAATCTTTTCTTTTTTTCAAGTACATTTATTGAATGATTATTATAATAAAAAAAAGGTTTTTATAATAAAAATATTAATGGTTAGACTAAAGTTTGCTTATTATTGAAAAATTTTCAATACTATTTTCTATTTATTAATTTTGTATTATGCATTAATTATTGTAGAAAAAGAGTTCACTTAAAAAAATAAATAATTGTTAAATATTTGTTTGCTGCTTTATTTTTTGGCACGCGCGCATTTTTTTATCCTACAGATTTGGTTTTAATTTGAAACTCTTCTGCAATCAATAAATTGTCATTACTTTTTATTTTTCATTTTCTTCGCATTAATTTTTGAGTTTTTCTATATTTACTTTCAATCTTAACTACTGTTGCTGCTGCTATCTGCATTTAAAAAGTAGTTCAGTGTAACTGCTATTATTCAATCTATAATTTTTTTCACTTTTGAATTACACGCACATCTCTACTTTTAAATTACACGCACGTCAGACTTTTTGCTCTTACATAACATAACGAATATTTACTGCGTTAAATACTTTAAAAATTTTGACGTATCATTTACGCAGTATATCAAAATTCATATAGTAATTTCAGTAATTACATGAAAATTTCTGCAAATTACATACCTCTTTGTGTGCAATAATTTAATGTCATGGAAATTTACACAATATTTTAAACGACTTTCTTAAGTAACGTGTGTGGGTGGCTCTTCTGCAACTCTGTTAAACTTTGTCATACATTCGTGGTAATTATTTTGTTCATTTACAAAAATTATGTTGTTCTATGCGACAAAATTTGTGATTAAATAATTACAAATTGCATTTCACAAATATCCTTAATGAGTTATCATTGCTATGGTAACTAGAGATATTTTCACCAGAGTAATCGCAACTTATTATCATTATTTTTTTAATTATAAACATATGATATTTGATTTTTCGTAATCATTAACGTTATCATAATTAATATCAGTCTAAGTATATGCACTTTAATTGTCGTAATCAGCATATAACAATAATGTTAACAGTAACGGTATCAAGAGTAAAAAATATGACTCATAACAAGTTGTGTTATTCACAATATTATTTTAAAGTAATAAAATTGATCAATCAATATCAAAAGGCAGTTAGATAAAAGATATATGATTAACAAATTTTAAATTAATTCACTAAAGTGTAAAGGAGACAAAATGAATAAGCAAATGCAACAGCTTGAAATGCCTAAATGAATTCTTTGAAGGATAGTTTAGTATACAATTAAACATTTTCAAGTATTTGTTTTATTTTGAGAATGAATTGCGAACATTGTTAGTTCATTGAACTGCACAGCATTTTCAGTTGAAATTGTAAGTAAATAATTCCTTTTTCATTTCTAATCATTTCACTTCAATTGCATTTCATTCAAATTTCAATTCTATTCTGTTTTCTTTCTTTAAAACAAGTTTAAAAAAATGAAGTTGCTATTACATTGAAGTATTGAATTAATTCCAATTTAAGGCATATTGTAAGCTAAGTTCTATCTTTAATTATGACTGCGATAGCAAAATTGAAAAAAATATTCAGATGCAATAGTGATTAATTAAGTTGAAAAGTGGATTAGAATCAAATTTTGTGCATTGATTTCTGTCTAATCAAAATTAGCAAGCAGATGTTTGTTTGTTTGTTAATTCTAACATGTTCCTTCCAGTGTTCTCTTCTAATTTTCTGATCACATCTCTTCTACATTGATTCAATCAGTTATTTGATCAATCACTAGAGTTAGCAGACTTTCAAATTTAATCATCTACTTTATTATGCTTTCAAATAACAAAATATAAAATTAGCATAATGATAAATTTTGTAAGCAAATAAAAATTTCATTTGTAATGAATAGAATTAGCAATAAATTTTTACAAGTATTAGTACTTACTTTCGTCAATTAAAGTGCAGATTTTTTTAGAATATTTGCATGTATAAAAATACATGCAAATGATTGCTTTGTGCTGTATTTGAACAAGCACACAATTGTTTTCAGCTGAAATTATTAGAACGCTTTATTTTAGCTTTGTTCCGTTAAGTTATTAAAAGCTTTTCTAGAAAGATATTTGCATTTTTATTGTTTGATTGATATTTTTAACTTTCCACTTCATTTCGTCCTGCATCTTTTGTCTTTTTCAGAAAGTAATCAAAATTGTGTAAATAAAGCGCGAATGTAAAAAATTGTCATTTAAAGTAAGCTAGTCGTAACTAAAATTTGTAATTTTCGTGCCGTTTTGAGTATTTGTATAGAAAAAATTTTATTAACAAGTCAAAATATGGAAGCATTATATTGTGGCATAATAATGCATTCAGAATTTTTTATCTGATTAGTTTTATCTATCAAAAATATTATTATTATTATTATTATTATTATTATTATCATTATGCATTAGCAGATATGAACAGTAACTTTGTTTTCTTTTCAATTATTTGGCATCTCACTGACATATATGTATATTGCTTTTAAATCTATGACAGATATTTCAAAATAAATATATTTTGTTTGTGAAAATGTTTCAACAATAATATTTTTAGATAATTTTGTTTTTGTAATAGCAATAATTTTACAGCAATCTTTTCATTACAGTAATGTAAGCATAACAATTTTTCTGTTAAAATATTGATTATTTTCAATTTTTTAAAATCATAATGATAAAATAAGTAGCAATTTTGCAGGTGAAATCTTGACCATTTTGGAGTTGCTTATTTGAGCGATTACGAATGAAATAATAGTAATTTATCTTTCTAATTTGCAAGCTTGATTCGTTCATTCCGCTCTTTATTTATCGTTTTATTAGAAATTTTTACGTTTTTACGCTAGTTGCTGTTAAAACTCGGCCACACCGAAGTGACGTGGCGTTAGGCAATATTATTTTTCTGTGTTTCTTTCATAATTCTTGGCAGTCATCATTGAGCGGATTCTGGCTTGCTGTTGTGGTTTTTACCGGCGGGTTCGAAGACTTCTGATGGCTACAATACCAGCCATAAAGCTTGTCGAACCAATCAAGAAGGAAAAAACAAAAACTTTTCAGGTTTTGTTCTTGGTTACTATTCCAAAAATGCTTTTTAAAACAGTAATAAGTTTCAGTATCACTGAATGCTGACAACAGTAATAACCGATAGTAGTAATCCACACTAAGTAGAATTAATAATTTGATAGTTGATGTCAGTTATATGCAACGATTGCTCTATAAATCTTGAAATGAGATACTTAGAAGTTTTAGTCTCAAATATAATTAATTCATTTTTTGCTATGTTTAACAATTACAATCAAATATTTTGATGATAAATTATATTGAGATGCAAGAAAATTTATTTCAGTTCAAAGTAATATTCTAGTTTGAATTCAGAATTGTGTTAAAAGATTTTTGATAAATCTTTTATCAGTCACTTGTCCATGTTGAAAAATGTTCTAATATTTGATAAGAATTTCCATCAGTTTAATTATAAATAGGAAAACGAAGCTTTTGTATCATTAATTAACTTGAAAAATGCAATCCAATTGAATTACTGAAAACAAAACAAAAGCATCAACTTTAGAATAAAATCAGATGTCAATCTTATTGATTTGAGTCAGTTTTGTCATCGTATTGAAGTTATTATTCTGTGAATTGAAATAGTGATGTTCAATGGAAATGATTAACTTGTACAGAAAGCAGTATTTTTAATATTTGTATAATAGTTTATTACTTTGTGCGCACAATTTTGAGCAAGTTTGCTATAATTTACAGTACAAATATTGATTCTGAACAAAAGCATTTTTGATAACTATTATATAATTTACAATATGTATATGTTTGCTTATGATTACGATCACTATTAATCTCATATGTTATTACGAGATTAATGATCTACGAGATGTCGATTAATAATATGTGATATTGATAAGATTATTAGTGATATATGATAATATATATTGTTTTATTCCACGTATTGCATAAGAAGTTGAAGCACAAAATGATTTCTCTACAGAATAGAGAAGTCAATTCATCAGTAAGTTGTTAAATTATCATTATAATTCATTGCAACTGCTATTTTTGAATGAAAAGTAGTTGCTCATTACTTTAGGTTGAAATGTTTTAAGTAATAAATTTATGATATTTTATTATTCAATTACTGCTTGTTATGCATTCTACAATGTGCACAAACAACTTTTAAATGAAAATGAATGAAAATAAATAAGTGATAAAATGAACTACTTATTTTAATAGTAGTGTTTAGCGAAATTTTTGTTAACAATTGCATTATTTTGTTTACACTGTTCTGTTGTTAGATAAAAAGTTAGAATTAAATGAACATTAATTAGATTCAAATTAATTTGTCACTACGTAATTTTAGGCCTATCTGCCTGATGGAGCTCGTACTTATAGCTGTGTACATTGTCGTGCTAATTTGGCTAATCACAACGAACTCATCTCAAAAGTTAGTTTTTTTTTTCATTAAATTTTCTTTAAACTTCGTAAAAGACTTCAGAAATAATATCCATTGCATCGTATATCATTAAGTTATCTCCTTTATTTTCAACTTTTATTGCTCTATCTATTATCACTGAAAATTTATGAAAAGTAGTAAAAAATAACAGAGGTATTATTTTTGCAGTCCTTCCAAGGTAGCCAAGGAAAAGCATATTTGTTCAATTCTGTGTAAGTTTTCGTACTATAATTTTACTTGTTTTATAGTTAAATATTCTCAAAAAAATTTAAGAGTATTTCTTGGGGTAAAATTATCACTACACTTCTGTAAAAAGGGTTTAATTCATAAGTTTTGCTTCAGAAGCAGAAACTCTCTGGTTATTTAGGTCAAAAGTGGTTACGAATCAGTTGTCATAATGTAAAAAAGTTTTTGCCGAAAGAGATTGAGTAAATACTTAAGATTAGAAGAAATATTGGCAATGGAAAAAAGTATTTGAGAGAAATTCGAGGAAAAATGATGATTGCTTGAGCAAACTGGTCATTTTTAAAATTATTTAGTATGCTATGGAATAACAGTTTTTGCTGTGTAATAAATTTAAACTGAGACAAAATAGTTTTATATAAATGGAGCTTATATTCATGTCTTTAGCTATATATGCGCATAATTTTGTTAAATTTTCAAAAAATATTAAAATGAATCAATTGCTATGATCATGAAGCTGTTCATGAAGTTCTAAGTTTTTAAATTTCAGATATTAAAATTAAGTTAAATATTTGTTTAGGGTAAACATAGGATGTGGACCGGCAGAAGAACGTGTTTTATTAACCGGTCTTCATGCAGTAGCTGATATATACTGTGAATGTTGCAAAACAACACTTGGCTGGAAATACGTAAGTTTTTTTCTGTGCTGCTTTTGTTTAGAAATTTTATTACATCATTTAAGTGTTAAGTGAATAATTGTATAATTGTTTTGTTATTAAACATAATATATTTATAATCTTTTATATTTTAGGAACATGCATTTGAAGTAAGTCAAAAATATAAGGAAGGCAAATTCATAATCGAACTGGCACATATGGTAAAGGATAATGGTTGGGACAAACGTGATCTGAAAAGGAACAATAGTATTCATTAATTTTGTAGGAAAAAAGGAAAAAGATGATGTATGAAATTGTAAATCATAATTTGTAAATTATTTGTAAATAGTTTAATTTTTTTTGTATTATCGGGTTATTTTTTCATTTGTTTTTCAAAATGTTTTAAAGCCAAAAAAGTAAATCTCATTCACTCATCCAAACACTTTCATTTTTTCAAATTCCGCCTTATCTATTATACTGATTTCTAGCGAAGAAGATTTTAACATTTGAAGGATTTGTACAAAATGTTATCAATGTGTTAAAATTATAAGCTTTGCGGATTTAATACAAAATGTAAAAATTGTTCTTTATTTGAATTCATTTCTAAGCATTTAATGCTACCTTTTAAATACTTGATCGAAAAAAATTTGTCATGGCTTAATCAAAAATTTGCAATATAATTAATCAGAAATTAAATTCTTCGTATTGTGCTGAACAATGCACATTTAAGATCAAAAATATTTAAAATTAATATTTATTCGCATTTAGTGCATACATTCATCTTCAGAATGCTCTGGAAGGTTGTACATTTTTTAAATCTATTCCAGTGATCTCTCATTTTGTATCAGAATATTTGAATGTACATAAATAACTGAACTTAACATCTATGCTTTGCTTGTATTAATTTCAAATGTTTAATATAATTCAAAATTTTGAAAAATTTGCTCTTTATGACATTTTATTTGTAATTTTAGCTGCAGCTGTGTGGATGGCTATTATTTGCTGTCATTTGCTACTTTCTTAACTAAAAAGTTAACGCTGTAATAGCCTTCAAATTATTGTTCGTTCTTTTTTCGTTTTACTTTGACTTTTATTCATTTAATATGATATGAAAGTAGACAAATATGAATGCAAAAAGTATTAGGCAAGTGAGAATGCTTCTGCAATACAATGTATATAACTGTTTATTGTTTTGTATTTTTTGTGTATTTTTGAATGTATTCAATTAGTCTTGTATGTGAGCAGCATATTCTTGCGCAAAATTGTGTGCTTTCAATTCATTGTTTAATTAGTTTGGATATTTTTCTGTATGTTCAAGCATTTTTTGTGGTGTATAAAAATCTCACATTGTTTTCTGTATATTTTTTTATTGAAATTTCATATTTAATTTTCAAAATAAGATTTCTTTTATCATAATAACATTTGAAATTGATTTTCTGATAACAGTTGATGAATACATCTTCTTCGGTACTCACTATAAACAGTCCGCATAAAACTTAACAGTTGAATAATTGCTAAAATCGACAGATATTTGCATATTTTATTTTTGATATATTGAAAGCAATTTGCTTAACATTTTTCATGAAAGGTGTTTTTCTGTCTAATCTGGTGAAATAGGCATCTGGGGGAGACATCTGTAGAGTAATTCAGCTTCACTCAAATGTATTTTGTCAGTGAAAAAACTTACAAATAGTGCACACTAACATTCGTCTCATAGCTGTTTTGATTTCTCCCTCACAATATTATTTCAAAAGCAAGAACATTTAGTGTATTTATTGATAATTCATATTAGAAAAATAGAAATCAGTAATTCACATATGTATGTCATTACTACAATTAATGCTCTAGTTGAGAATAATTTTTTGCTATTGAATAATATGCATATCGCTAAAGAATGTTTGATTTATACACAAATTTGGAACTATTCTTCACTGAAAGTCAGCTTGAGATTCCGACTACATCGACATATAAGCCAAGTATTGTGAATTGTTAGTTAAGTATTTCTTGCTGACAACGTATAAAGTCGGTGAATACACGCAGTTTCGACTTATTCATTGTCTCTGTGATGATTCTGTTAGATTTCAAACTGGTGCACACAATGCATTCTGAAAATTGACTTTCTGTCATCAAATTTAAGTCATTGTGATCCTGCAATTCGTTGACAATAAACTAAAAGTCAACTGTCCTTCATAAATACCGAGACGTTCATTAATGAGTAATATGAAACTCTTGTCAGGAAAGTAGTTTTGATACTAACAGAGTTTATTACATGAAGTGTAGAGTTGAATGGCAATTACAACTGTGAGCATATAATCATAAATATTAGCTCGCAATTTTTCACTTTGCAAAGATTTAACTATAACTATATTAAAAATTGTTTCAAATGAAGGGAATTATTATACAAACATTATCAAATACATTTATTTCTAAACTGCCACAAAAATCCTTCAATTGTAGTCGAAGGACGGAAAATTACTAAAAATCACAAGACATTGAACTGGAAACTTATTCTTCCACGAGTTTACATGATGGAACGAAAGCAGTCTATTTTTTAATTAATGAGTTGATCGTTCCATTCCATTATTTAGATTTTCCACAAGATTGATCATTGTGGAGTTTCATAAATATCATGTAGAGCTGAATTCTGAAAAATAAACATGAGCAAATACTAAATTCAACTTTCCGTGCTTATAGTCTAATTTTTACTATCACGATCCTAGGAAGATCGCAAAAAAAATAATTTGCACTTTAATAGAATCACTATTTTTAGCATTTCAAATAACTTCCGATAAATAGTAGTCCAACTCATAATATAATAATGATTTATTTGCCGAAATTCATTGTTAACTGACCTAAATCATATCTTAATCTCCACTGATGGCTAAAAAAACGGCTTGCATCATTCATGCTTCAAATATAGTGTCTGCAATGCGGACAGCAGAGAATCCTAAATGAATTCCAAGTATAGTTGTACAAGTCTTGAATGATGGCCTCAAAAACGATTAACCATCATTTAAAAATAATGCTCTATACTCGTTTGATACCTTGAAAATCTTAAATGAAAGATACCAGAATTCAATTTTACCCAGCCACAGCACGTGAGGCCTGTAATACGCATTATACTGCTGATATTTAACGCCAGAAAACAGCACAAAATACGCAAAAAATGATAACAAGTGACGTTAACATAACGTGACTTCATTCCTATTCAGAAACTAACTGCAAAAAGGTCGGTTAGGTTTGAAGAATTGCTATGCTCAGCTATAAATTAATCTGGAACGCTATTGCAATCTTTCACATATGCTTCCTCAATACTTCCTATCCTATCCTACTCCATCCCAATTCAATGTCGCACATTCTTACACGGGGTGAAAAGTCGATAAGCAACCATTCCCCTCAGAACAAACAAGACGGAAAATGCAGCATGGAGCCAACCACTCCGCTTGAAACAGTTTCTTGATAACTGTGAATATTTGACGGTGCACTGTGTGATCAGAATGATTCGCAATAATTTCATCTCAGAATTTTAGATTTCATTGTTTGAAGTGAAATTTGTGTATCAAACACTGTATTTTTTGTTCAGGCATTCAAGTTATAAAGTCAATATGAAAATACTGTATATTTTCTGAGTACTTAAGGCAAGAAACTATTGCCATACTTGGTAAATATTTTTTGATTCAATGTGATTTTAGTTTTTTTAGTTTACAGATTAAATGGATCACTGATTTTCTTCAGTTTGATCTACTACTGCTGAATGCAATTTAGTTGCAACTGAAGTTGTAATTCTATTGTTGCGAACTAAACAGATATATTCCATCTCATTTTGTTATTTCGATACAGAAAAGAATTGTGCTTAAGCCTGTAACTTGATAAGTTTGATATGCTGACTAGAAGATCGTAGACATTTGAGAACTGCAAAGTAAACTTATTTTTTGCATTTATGTTACATTCTCTTCCATCAGTGATCAGTTGATCGATAATAGGACAAAAAAGCACACTAAGTTATTGCATTAAAAACTAAAAAATAACTGTTACAAAGTTATAAAAAGTCGGTATTCATTATTAAAAGTAATGCTTCATCTGAACTACTCTGTAACCTTCTGAGTTCAAATGATAGCAAGGAATCTGAGCAAGCGGTGAAATGATATCACTGCTAAGAATGCTTCGAAGTTTGCGGAAATATGTGAGGTGAGTATTGCGATAGAAAACTTGCTGATTTCTTTTCTGCGTTTTGGTTATTAATAGTATGTTTTGTGATGGAATTTCTTTCTTATTTTCTTTTTGACAAAATATGGTTGAGCTTGGATTATATAGAAAAGAAAGCAGGCATGTGCTTTTTTCCGGATTCGGAAAACTGTACATATCATTACGATATGGCTTTTAGATCAGTCAAAAGATCAATGAAGATATGCAAATATTCGCAACTCAAGAATATTCAGAAGGTTTTATATCTGCTTTTGCAATATAAAATGAGCACAATACAGAGAATGTAAGCGGTGCAAGCAAATATTAAACTTGAACTATAAATGCAAATATGGACTAAATTTATTTGAATGGGAAACAAAAAAGAGGCAAAATGTGGGGATTCTTTGCATTCGGGCCAAAAAACGATTGAATATAGCAAATGCAGTGATAAGTGTAAGAAAGTTAACAGTCTCAGAATAAGTAAAAGAAGAGAAACTAGCCATCGACTGTGGCTATCCGTGACTACAATCGGTGGTCTTAAATACGATATGCAAAAGTGTACTTTTCGCAAGTGAAGATGGATAGATCGTAAGAATTACCTTCTGGGACATTTTCCCGCAGTAAACATTCACTAGATTCTTTCACCGTTTTTTCAGCCTTCATAATCGACTCTGCAATTAGTACTGTCTTGTAGAAATGAGCAAGCAGACGGATATCTTCTCGACATTTTTCTCGCTATGCATAATGTTTCTTGTTAAATAATACTCATTCTTCTGTAAATGCTATTAATCTTATAATTAAGATAACTCTCTCCTTTATCGCCGTCTCATTTTAAATGCCTAACATTGGATGCTGCAAAGAGAAAAAAGTACATGCCGAAAAAAGTTTGACTCATTAAGTGGGTTGGACCAAGCTTTCAAATACGCACGGATCTTTTTTCTCGGTCCTTTAGAATAGCAAGACTCTTACTTGGTACTTACCAACGTAAACACTTTCAAAGCAGTTAACTACGTACATCCAGACATATAGTCAATCGTTTTCACATTTCCACTCACACGTACACAGCCACAGAAAAACCCTGATGAAGAGAAAAAAGATCTTCAAGAAAGCCTCATTTTCTGGATAGATCTCTTTGCAACTTTGAAACAGCATTCTTTGTTGTGTGCGAAATAGAAAGTATGCTTTGCAATTACGCAAACTGGTCTTCTAAATAATATGGCATTGTTGCATGAGAAAATAAGACAGCAATCATAAATTTATTAGCTTCAATTATTCCATTACAAACAAAGAGAACAAGAAATTAATACATCTAAAATAAATTATGGAAAAAAGTGCACACAATTCAATAAAATAATAATGCAACAAATTTTTCAAAATTGAAAACAAAGGTGAAGGAAAAATAACAAGATTAAAAAAAACATTTGCATAAAATTTAAACGGGTAATCCAGAATAAAAGGTAATAACTAATTTTTTATTTCTTCAGTAATTCTTATTACTTTTTTTCCTTTCCATTTTGTTTCCATCTCCTGAATTTTTCCGGCAATTCATGCCTATCTCTTCATACTATTTGACCAGGAATGCGTTTTGAAGCAAGCCTCTCCATCGACGGCTGCAGTCGGCCAACTATTTATGCCGTACGAAATATTGTACAGCTTCGCCATGTTGGCCAACTAGCCGCAAGTTCAATTCCTTATAAGGCAGCCTATTCACGCATGCTGCTTTTCTAAATTAAAAACGTAAACAGAATGGATCTCTACTGCCACAAACATTAGTCCGCCACAGAGTCAAATGGTACTCTCACTAGGATGGACTCTCTGACAGCAGTCTAAGCATCTTTAACAAAATGTTTAGACAGCAGTCTAGACATTCTGTTAAAGTAAAATAATTTTCTTTTCACAAAATATAGATTTTTGGCTTATTGAAGACAAGCGACACTTACCATTTCTCTGTTTTCGAGCAGCGTGAATGTGAGCCTCTTCAACTGTTGACATGACATTCGAGCGAAAGGCTAAAATAAAAAATAATTTAAAATTTAGAAGTCATAAATCAACAAGTAAAGCAACTGAATTAATAAATTGCCTTGATTATTAAAAATATACCGGTATTAGCGAAGTTATCGCCAATCCGCACAATTTCGCTGGATTTGTTAAGGTCGGGAGACCTGCTAGCTACATACTTCCCACCGTAATTTCCTGAAAATTGTGATTCAATTTCGTCTTGTCATGTCATGAATTCTATGAATTTTTCATTCCTCAAAGCAAAGTCCATTGATGGAATGAACTTGTTAACATGAAATTTACAAAATTTCTTCTCCGTCTTCAATTCCCTAGTGATTCAGAGTGAATTGCAACTCACCTATTATTTCTCACGGTGAGAAGAGGCTGTCTCGGTCTCCCCATTCATGTTTGCATCATTTCTTGATTGGTCCATCAACTGTAGCTCTCGCACTTCGAGAGCCATCCTCATTACTTATCAAGTCTAACCATGTTTGCACCATTTCTTGGTTGACCAGCCCAACCTTGATCCCACAGTTTGTCTGAAATAACGCATAATTTTACTGCTGTGAATAAAAAACAGCCGATCAACGCGTTTGGACAGATATCGATTAGTCTTTTTACTTCACAGCAATGAACAATCAATTCTCTAAGCTCTCTCATTTCAAAGCACTTCAAATTAAAAATTGACCCAGCGAATTTGCGGACATGAAGTACTGCTTTGGAAGTTCGAAAATCTTAAAAAATGGAGAATTGCATACAGTGGCAAAGCACAATGAATACAAAATTGGAACTAGCAGCACGTAATTCTAGCAGTCTGTTGGATAATTATGTGAGAATAATATAGTAATAACTGCAAGTACCCACTGGGATATCTGATCAGATCACAAACGACAGCTCACTCCCTCACACTTGCCCACCTTAAGAAACAAATTAGCCAAGCTGGTAACCTCAGGCAACTTATTTTCCAGCCGCTCACCGCACACTCTGACATGACAAATCAAAGTAGTGAGTGAAGAGAGGGGGAGGAGGAGAGTGAGGGACTGGCAGCACGTCAGCGAG